GACGATGACCGACGGCGATGAGGATGGCGAGCGCATCCAGCAGTGTGGGGCGATGGAGGAAGGAGATCCAGGCGAGGGGGCGGTGGGCTGGTGGCTAGCGGGTGGGAGGATGTCCAGGCGAGGGAGGGCAATGCGCGCAGCGTGAGGAAAGAAAGTACGAGATGGGGCAAGTCAACGCGAGCAAGATCGGACGGTAGGGCTCGTTGCATCGAGCAGCTGGGGTGCGACCAGCCCAACTATTGGGCCGGCGCGCCGGGGCCTAAGCACTCGCTATCTCAAAATATAAGGTCTTACTAAAAGTCTACTCCCTCCTTCCATCTATATAGGGCCTAATGCGTTTTTTAAGACCGCCTTTGACTATTGACAAGATTAATAGTACATGACATGCACAATCTGAAAATTATATCATTAAAAGATCCTTTCACATACGAATTTAACGATGTGCTTTGTGTAAGTTGCATGTCATATATTATTGCTCTAATATTTGATCAATGTTAGCCTCGAAAAACGCATTAGGCCCTATATAGATGGAAGGAGGGAGTAATATTTTGTGCTAGCCACATAATGATTCAATAAAATTTCAAAAAATTTGAAACGTTGAGGCTCTCACAATCGAATGAACGAGACTTTCCGCCTGCTAGTATAGAAATCGAACACCATGTGCTCGTGCTCATATCCATACATCCACCCAGGAAAAAAGGAGCGAAAAAAAAACAAGAAACAAAAGCGAGGCCAGAGAAAAGAGAGCCGCCAAACGACGGGCGTTCGTCCCTCTTCTCTGCCGACCAAAACCCTAAACCCTAGCCCGACTAACCCCCTCCCCCTCCTCCTCCGGCGGCGGCGCCAGCCACCGGCAGCACACAAACCGGGCGAAGATGCCGCTGGGGCAGCGCGCCGGGGACAAGAGCGACTCCCGCTACTGCGGGGTCGAGGTGCTCGACTTCCCCGCCGGCGACGGCCTCCCCGCCGTCCTCACCCACTCCCTCTCCTCCGCCTTCGACTTCCTCCTCGCCCCGCTCGTGAGTCTCCCTCTCTCCCGCTGCTACCGCCGCCGCCGTTTTCTCGCGTCCTCCCTCTGAAACGGAGGCTTATCTGCCTTGCCCCTCTCTGTGCAGGTCGATCCCGACTACCGGCCCACGCCCGGCGCCGTCCTGCCGGTGGCGGCCTCGGACCTCGTCCTCAGCCCGTCCCAGTGGAGCAGCCACATCGTCGGGAAGATCAGCGAGTGGATTGATTTGGATTCCGAGGACGAGCAGCTCCGGCTCGACTCGGAGCTCACGCTTAAGCAGGAGATCGCCTGGGCGACTCATCTCTCCTTGCAGGTCCATCCACTCGACAACACATTGCTCATTATTTGTTTCTATCAGTCTAATTTCAATCAGTTGGTTTTACAGATTATTTATTAGTATTACACCGAGCACTGTAAATGGTAACTGCAATAACATACTCCCTCCATCCGAAATTACTTGTCACGGCAAATGGATAGAAATGAATGTATTTATAAAACTAAAATACATCTAGATACATCCATTCCTGTGAAAGTAATTCCGGATGGAGGGAGTATGAATTATCTAGTTATGCCGTTCAACATTGTTGGGGTGCCTATCGACTCTGAAGAACTAGAAACATGGATAATTCCTGTCCAGTTGACCGTCCTTGGATTCCTTAACTGCATTACTTTATTAAGCTTCTTATGCATTATTAGAAAACAAGTCTCTACAAAAGATCTGAATTCGTGGCGCATTTCCTTGCAGGCGTGCGTTATTCCTCCTCCCAAGAGATCGACCTGTGCCAATTATGCTAGAGTTGTAAATAATATTTTGCAAGGCCTGACCAATATGCAGGTATCGCCCTCCCTATCCAATTTCATCTTTCAGTTGTTGAATAGGTGCCTTATTTTAAAATACTTTGTCGACATCTAACTTTTATTTGCTCTGTTTCTTTCTTAAGTTGTGGCTTAGGATACCTCTGGAGAAGTCTGAATCTATGGAAGAAGACCGTGACAAAGTAAATAATAATAACCCCACGGTAAATGTTTGTTCTACCAAGCCTAGCAGGGGGTGCCTAGCGCGCATTCAAGGCTAGCAAGCTGGCTAGGCGTTTGTCTGCCAGAGCAAAATGCTGCAGTCTGTTGATGGCTAAGTATACACACTGCTGCGTAACTCAATTGTTATTTGTTTTCTTAAATTACAGAGTGAAACAGTAGACTCGTGGGAATGGTGGAATTCATTCAGACTGTTATGCGAGCATAGCAGTCAACTGTATGTAGCACTTGATATCTTGTAAGTGATGATCTTGCATTGTCACACCAAAAAATTTCTTGCAAAATAAAGATTTCACTCTAATTTAGTAATTTCATCTATAATGCTAAAGCTTTGGTATCCCTTAAAAATGTTGTCTATTCACTTATCAGGAGCTCGCTGCCATCAATGAACTCTCTAGGGCGCTGGTTTGGGGAGCCTGTAAGAGCTGCGATTCTTCAAACAGATGTAATCATACAACTTAATCAGTCCATCTTGATGTGCAATCACCTCCCTCCTGGGGTATTACAATAGGCCGTGCATGTTTGCAGCACTAAATAATTTTCCATCTGCAGGCTTTTCTAACAAATGCAAGAGGTTATCCTTGCTTGTCCAAACGCCACCAGACTCTGCTTACTGGTTTTTTTAACCATTCAGTTCAGGTAGGTTCTTTATTATGCTTCTTTATATTAAAGCATTTTTCTTCTTCACATAACAGCATAGCCTTTTGAATTAATGGCGCAATACAATACGGCAATACCTGCCCTCCTTCTAAGCTCGAGAGGCAATTGATGTGTATGTCGTGTTCTGCCTGAAGCCCTGAATTCTGATTTTGTTTAGGTAATTATCTCTGGGAGATCAAATCATAATGTTTCCCAAGTATCTGAAGGAGTGCTCTCACGTGATGAAAACCACACCGAAGGTAACTCCTGTGAACTTTCAGATTTGTTATAGTTCAGAGGGTCTTTAACTTGCACATGATTATGTAAACAATGTTTTCATTACATACATTTAAAGTGACTGCCGTACTCTAAAAAGTAAACTCTGCGAAGAGATCAAACTTAATTTCTCCTTTTTAATATGAGAAATGTGTCAAGTATTATTTTCCTGCTCTCTGAACTATATGCCTCGACTTGTGATACTTGCTGCAAAAGTGCCATTTATTTCCATTAAAATGTGACTCACTCATGCCTAAATTGTTACTTCAGATACCCCCACTCAGCATGCATTGAGCCCGTACCTTGACTACATGGCCTACCTCTATCAGAGGATGGATCCACTTCCTGAGCAAGAACGCTTTGAGGTATCCACTCTAGTAGACTTCCTCTCTCTCATGACCCATTATTTATCTTATTCACTGGCATCTTCCTTGATCTTATGTTATTTGCCTTACTCCAGATCAACTATAGGGATTTCTTGCAATCTCCTCTCCAGGTAATTACTGTTTCGCTTATTCTCAAGTTCTAATCACCTGAAAGAAATTATTCTTTCTCGTGAAGTTATGGGGCATGGGTCTCCTTTTTAACTCCATTACAATGAATGTGGCATTCACTTCCTCATAACTTGTCTATTTATTTATTTTGGCAGCCTCTGATGGATAATTTGGAAGCTCAGACGTATGAGACTTTCGAGAAAGACACTGTGAAGTATACACAGGTTACTGTCATATACTTGGAATCTGTCTATCTTTAATGCTATACATTTTGAAGAAGCAACATTGCCTTCACTTTTGTCAATAGTTTCCGTCAATACATTGTGAGAAGAAAGTTAGCTATTAAATTGAAGTATCTAAAAATACGTTCTCATTTATTTCTTCCAAACTATTGACTATATCATGGTTCTTCTACTAGTCAGTACACCCTGAAAGTATTTGAGAATTACTATAACTGGCACAAGATCAATCTTGAGATTTATGGATGCATGCTTCAGCTATCACATTTTTAACATTAGCACTTAATAGCTAATGAACCAGGTTTTGTAAATAAATCAAGGATAAAAAATCCAGCCCTTCTTTATAAACTAGGTAGTCTGGAATTCTATTTTTTTGGCTGGTTGGTCAGTCTAACAGCACTCTTCATACCAGTATCGATCTCATTGCTAATTCCTTTTTTACATCATATGAACAGTATCAAAGAGCAATCGCTAAGGCGTTGGTTGATAAGGTCTCAGATGATGAAGTTTCCACAGCTAGGACGGTACGATTGGCCCTGAACTTTGTAATCTTTTTCCTATATAAAATGGTTGCACTCCATACTTGAATCTCTTTAAACAGTGATTCATAGGGCCATGAGTTGGCAAAAGCATGCATTCATATCTTGTTTATGCATTGCCTCTTCTGCATCTGTAGCCAATCCAGCGTTATGCCTGTTTTATTTGTAATATTCCTAGGCTGAAATTGTAAACAGCTCACTGGAGCTTATTTCCTGCACCACTCATATTAAACCTACATTTTTATTTTAATGTTATATTTAGTATTTAATCATCTAATTATTCGCTGTTCCACAAAGGTCTTGATGGTTGTTGGAGCAGGCCGAGGGCCTCTCGTAAGAGCATCATTGCAGGTGAGTTCTTTTGCTCCTGACACTTGGGGTGTTACCACAAACTTTGATAAATTTGCTGGTGTTTAAATAACGTGCCTGTATTTTTTGTCGAAGAAAACTTCTTTGTTCATATTGTCCAGGAAGCTAAATAGGCTTTCATATTAAATGCAGGCTGCAGAAGAAACTGGTCGGACGCTAAAAGTATATGCAGTGGAGAAAAATCCTAACGCAGTTATTACTCTTCATGTGAGTTCTTATATTTTCAGTTTTCAAGTTATTCCATTAGACAGGGGTGTAAGCTTGTCAGTTTAGGGATCATTGATGCATCTCTTTTTCCCTATCATTGTGTTGGTAGTCTGTTTTTGCCTTGCTGCGTTAATAAAAATATATTATATGATGATCTGATTGGTTTTTGGGCACCGGTGCAGAGTTTGATCAAATTGGAAGGGTGGGAAAGCATGGTTACTATTATTTCTAGTGACATGCGGTGCTGGGATGCTCCTGAAAAAGCTGATATTTTGGTATGCTGATACTTTGTTCGAAAGTGACATTTCAAATCTCTTACCAGGCAGTCACAACTATGTCTTAACAATCTCACATGCAATTATGAACAGGTCAGCGAGTTGCTTGGGTCCTTTGGTGATAATGAGTTATCTCCTGAGTGTCTAGATGGTGCCCAAAGATTCTTGAAGCCTGATGGGATTTCTATTCCTTCATCGTACTGACCTTTTTCCCTTTTTGCATTATTATTATATAATTGAACTTCTCTGCATTCTTTCGATCCTAGGTATCCTCATATTTCTTATTATTTGATTGTTTTCATGTGTTCTGCTGCAGTTACACAAGCTTTATCCAACCAGTAACTGCATCGAAACTACACAATGATGTAAGTGCTTATGCCATCTCAGTGTGGTATCTGCAAAGTTTCAATAGAGCTTGAAGCGACTTGGTTTTTGCAGATTAAAGCACACAAAGATATTGCACATTTTGAAACGGCATATGTTGTCAAGCTACACCGAGTAGCAAGACTTGCACCTCCACAAGAGGTGAGAGACTGCACTTTCTGCTCAATATGCCCTTCATTGATCATGCCTTCCTCCAATAACTATTTTCATAACGACATCTGATGATCACCTTTAAATGAGCAGGTTTTCTCTTTCGCACATCCAAACTTCTCACCAAAGGCCACCAACCAAAGGTATACCAAGTTACAGTTTGAACTACCACAAGACACGGGATCATGCCTTGTGCACGGTATGCAGCTGTACTTGCCATTCAGTTTTCTATTCTGTAAAGCTATTCATATATCACTCTAACTCTACTTATCCAATCATTTTGGCAGGATTCGCTGGATATTTTGATGCCGTACTATATAAAGATGTCCATCTAGGAATTGAGCCGAACACATGTACACCAAACATGTTTAGCTGGTAAGTAGCAAACTGTCAACCCACTGCTCTTAAAAACCAGCAGCAATATTTTCCAAATCCTGCAATTTAGTCATAATTTTGACATATTATGAACATTGCCAGGTTCCCAATCTTTTTCCCACTGAGGAAGCCCATATACGTGCCGTCAGAGTCGCCCATAGAAGTGCACTTTTGGCGATGCTGTGGTGCCACCAAGGTCAGTGTGGTTTCCATCGCTGTCGATCCTTTGATAAATGAATCCTTATCCGCTGTTATTTCAGGTGTGGTACGAGTGGGCTCTGGTGGCTCCGTCTCCATCCCCGATCCATAACAGCAATGGCCGGTCATATTGGGTCGGTCTATAAGTTGGAAAATCAGAATACTCTGTGTCGGTTTTTTGAGAGAGAAGAAATTGTCGATCATATGCTTGGTTTTTTAGTGTGTCCAGCTACCTGGGTCAAAGAAACAGATCTTAGAACCTGGATACAGGCACATGCTGTAACTCGCAAGCTTTTGCTTTGTAACATCTTTTACTTATTGTTGTTGCCGCGCTAATCCTTGTGCGTGCTAGGGTTTTAGGTGCTGAGCTCGTCATCAGTTTTGACATTGCCTTTTCTGTTCTTGAGGTGAACATGCGGAGACGCAGATCTAGTTTCGTGCTAGGGTAGTCAAAATGTGTTTCTTTCGTCTGGGATGCAAAGCAAGTGGCTTTACTGTAGAATCACAAACATGCATAGGGTTTGCTACTCAAATATATTTCTCGATGCTTGGGAAATAACAATTTAGTTGTTGTCACTCCTATGTGCCCCCAGAGGCCAGAGCAGAGCAAAGCTGCAAAAGGCATTCTCAAGTGGAGCGGCAGGGTTGCACCGTATTAAGTACTCCGTATACGGTCCTTCTTTCCCTGTTTGCCCTGCATTTTCATACAAAACTATGAGGATATACGCGAGTAGTTCTTGAAGTTGATTGTTTAGAGGTGTACACCTGCGCTTGTTTTCGTGCTCTCTGATGGCGTCTATTCTTGCTGAGATAGCCTCATCGTTTATTTCTTTTTTAATTAAACATGTATTCTTGCTGGATGGACTCCCCACCCCACCCCGCGCGGCCCATTGCCCATGATAGTTGAATAAAAGCTCTAATTTCCCTGCAAAAAAATCATACGTAAAAAGAATAAGTAGAAAAATCGGTATATTCTCACAACACATTAGTATGTTGGTCATATAAATAAAAAAAATAAGAAAAAATATTTCAAAACATGGTCAGTAGTATACTATGTACACACATTTTTACGTCAGAATATCTGCAACTTTGTGTTTTTCAAAAAACATACCAAAATTAGAGGAAAACATGTTTGTTTTAGTATTGCAGAAGATCACATGTTCTTGCAACATCCTTGAGGCATTTGCAATTAATCCGAATCAATATATCCAAAAGTTTTTATCCCCCCCACCTCCCATCTTACCTTTTTTATAGTATTCAAAATTATACTACAACGATTGATATTTATTCTTTTTTTCCTAATTAGAATTAGCAATTTTATTTACTCCGACTCCGTGTTATGTTCCCCTTAGTGAAATATTAATCCTCAAGTTATTAACAAATAAATTAATAAAGTCTATAATGATAGAATGAAAATACCAATAAATTCTATAGTTTTATTTTAAAACATCCTTTAGCTAAGCATATCAAAGATAACTTTATAACTTAAAACCAACATTCATGTGCATGTGTGATTCCTTTAGATTTTTTTCAAGAATAGAAAGTATTAGAGTAATATTTTGACCGAGCAGATGCCAGGCAGTACCTTATTTCGTCACCCCACTTTTATGTTCTATATCCCTCTTACTCAGAATAAGGAAAAACCCTCTCCCACACCGACGCTGACACGCGGGCCCACACTAGGGACCAACTGTAGCTAGCGTAGAAAACCGGAAAAGAATCGAGAAGCTTCCCGAGGCACGTGGGCACTCGCCGCGGGGGAGAATAAAAGAGTCAAAATTGGAGCGCCCCCATACCCCATACGACCCGCGACGCGCGCAGAAATTTCTGGTGGCAATCCTCTCCTCCCCTCCGCCCGGGGAAGAAGCCTCTCGATCCCCCGAGAAGGGGCGCGCGCCCTCGCCGATCTCCCTCCCCCGCCGAGAGATCTACAGCGAGCGAGGGCCCCAGCTCAATCCGCCGATGGAGGAGACGGCGGCCGTGGCGGCGGCGACGGAGACCGTGACGGCGACGGAGACGGGGACGCCGGAGAAGTCGTCGTACAGGTACTGGGTGCGGCAGGCCACGGGCGAGGCGGCGCCTCCCCCCGTCCCGCGCAAGCTCGACCCCTCCGCCGCCAACGGCGGCGGCGGCAACCCCAACGCCCTCGGCTCCGTCTGGAATCAGGTCAGAGGCCCTTCTCTCCACACTTACGTGCGCTGCCACTAGATAGGTGACTGGCGGCTGCCCGCGTTGCCGGATGGAATACCATGAATTAGCTCTTGTGATTAATGTCTTGTTCTGAGCCTATGATCTGATAATTAGCATACGTTTATACATTGGGATATGTCGATTCGCAGCCATAAACCTCCGTCGATCACCATGAACCCGCTCAGTCGATTTGGTATTGGCAAATCTGCAATCTCCAGTTTGCCGCCAGTGGATTGTGGGGGTGCATTCACCCTACGTGCAGGGAATTTGTTTACTGCCGCACATTGCAACACATGAGTATTGCTGTTCAACACTATATATTCTATCTAGATATAGCTAGTGTAACAGTGTTCCTGCTTAAAAAAAAATTAAAACTATTGAATATTGATGTAGAGTCACAGCAAAACCAAAATATATTTAAAAAGAGAGGGAATGTTCTTGTGTTCTTGGAAGTTTGGCAACAAAGACTAGCTTTGCAGTACATAAACTTTGGTGCACTCTACAGCTCTGCTATAGCTCATAGTACTAGTTTTACAATTGCATAAATAGAGGAATAAATATGCAAAGGGGAAAGAGATCTGATTACGCTGGGGTTTGAACTACTAGGACGATACTGTGGTCTTGTACATTTAGAGGAGCTGTGGCCGGCTTCTTACTAGTAATAATCTATGATTCTCTTGAGTTAAATAGAGATATGGAGTACACTTACGGCGGCCTCAAGAAATTCAGGAACAGCCTTATAACTTCCGAGTTTTGAGTTGTTTGGACAAATTTACTTCTATTGCTGACTCATACCATCTGCAAACTGTCCAGCTTTAGTTCTATTACCTTTGGCGTTTTTTGGTAGTTGCTGTAGCTGCCTATTTTTTTGATACCGTTATCTTCTGGGATGGTTATACTGCTAATTGCCAATCTACTATTTTCTGATATTTTTCACGTTTGCACTTGCAGGCTGGAACATGGGAGGAAAAGAACCTCAATTCATGGGCTAATGGTAGGATAAAGGTGCGTGGTTTAGCAGCCAGCTGTTTACAAAATGCTTGTCTAAAATAGTTCACTGATGTTTCCATTGTATTAAATTTCTCTGATAGTTATTAGCTCATATGTACTGTAGGATTTGCTGGGTTCTTTGGGTTCACTGGATTTCTCCACGGGGAAGGCATCCATTGATGAAGTGTCCAAATGCTCAGGCGATGTAAGCACAATGTCTGACAAGAACGTTCAATTCCATCAATTCATAACTATTTTTCATAACCTGATAACCTTTTTGCACGAAGTAATCCTGTCATGTGTAGTTTAAACAACTAACCATATCCTTGGTGGTTTAACAGGCATTTCTAGTAATGGTCCGTAATAAGAAGAGAGTAGGTTATAATTATGAACTGAGCTTGAGATTTAAAGGTAAAGCATATATCATGCCAAACATTGCATCACTTCATTTATTTAAAATATGCATTACTCCGTTGTCGCTAACTCGTTTGCCGTAATGCTAATAGGTGAATGGCTAGTCAAGGAAGAGAAGAAGAAGGTCACTGGCCATATAGACATCCCCGAGTTTTCATTTGGTGAGCTTGATGACCTCGAGGTACAAATAACCACTACTGTTCTCTATAGTGCCTGTACCATTTATAATCAATTACTGGGTACTGGTTGTCTCAAACAATCCCTTCTGATTTCAGGCAGAAGTGAGGTTCACCGATACCCTCGAATGGGACGACAAGTCGCGGATCTGCAAGGATGTGAAGTTGTTCCTTTCACCTATAAAGGAGAAGCTGCGGACGTTCGAGCTAGAGCTGAAAGATAGGTAGTGAATGTCTACGAGTGCCGGCAGGTGCTAGGTGCTGTTTTCGGTGTTGTTACCCATTCTTGTAGCTTGGACTCTCTGTTGTGTCGGATTAAGCGTTGCTGTCTAAGACTCTCGTGGTCATGTTATTCTTGTTTCTCCGGTCAGTGTAAGATTATACGGTTGCCACATGTCCGTTGATGGCTTAGATTCTGTGTTGCTGTGCACGTTTAGTGTCATGAACCCAACAGAAACACAGATGATGATGATGATTACGATGTCTCACCAGAATATGTTGTTATCTGTCCTGTGGAGATGTTAGTTTGAGCCTTTAATGTGGAGGTGTTTAGTTAGGCTTAACTTTGATTTTGGATTTTGGCTTATGAGCCAAAAAGCATCTATTTATGTGCTTTTGGCTTTGGCTTTTGTCCTATACCATTGCTGTAGGACCCTCTGCCCTGCCTCAATGAATGCAAATGCGGGCGAATGGCCACCCCATCTTAAAAATCAACTTCTCCCTACTTCAGATCTCAATGATTCAATTGAGTCCATAAATGTGAAAGAAAACAGAGAAAATGATCCTTCACCCACGGGGTAGTTTGATGAATACTCTCTGACTTGGTTGATAGTTAACGTAGTTGGCAATTTTAGGATATTGATAAAGTTGGTTCTTTAGATATGCAATTAGGAGTATATGTTAAGCAAACAAGCAATAAGGTAAGCAGAGGAACTAGCTAGCTAGCAAGCCGTCAAACGTACATACTCCTTCTGTCTGAAAAAACTTGTCCCAAGCTTGTCTCTTAAATGGATGAATCTAGCACTAACTTGGTGCTAGATACATTCATTTGAGGGACAAGTTTTCGGAGGGAATAGTAGGTAAAAGATGCGGAAAAGAACTAAACACAAGTGAGTCGACAACACGGAATTTATCCTGATGTTCACTCTTTGGGAGTGCTAATCTTCACTAGAAAGAGACAGTGCTAAATTGCAATCTAATTTATTATATACACTAAGACACTAATTGTTTGACAACTTAATGTTGTTTAAGGAGTATTTGCTAGGATTATGATGATATTTAACTTAATGTTGTTTAAGGAGTATTTGCTAGGATTATGATTTTAGGTCCGCCACTGGCTAGAAAGGTGTCGAAGCCAAAGCTTTGGAGCACCACCTAGTGGTTCATTTTATCCTCCCTTTGAGCCATCCCTAACAGATGAGACTTAAATCACTCCTGGTTGGTCTAGAGCTTCCGGATCTTGTCGCCTGTCGCCTAAGAGTCCAAATATCTAAGAATAACAAATCCTCAATGAAATCAACGGGGAACTCAAATCAATTTGGTGGTACTATGTTAAAAAAAATAGAGCTTTGGAGCTTTTAAAAATGGAGCAAGAGTAAAGAGCTCAACTCGATATAACGGGGAAGGATACCCTTGGGGAAGATAAAGTTGGCTTTATATAGCCCACATAGAAATCTGGCCGTTGGAGTGTCCCTCCCTACACCCCCGGAAAGTTCCAGAGGGAGCTTCCTTAAATTCGATCCTTGATTTTCCTTAAATTCGATCATGGTTTGGAGCTTTTGTCCCTGAATGTTTTCTGATTGTTGTAGGCAAACATACTACAGTACCGTATTATGACCTATGAAACAGAAAACTCTGCTGAAGCTATTTCTGCAATAGTGACATTTGGTGGGAAAAAGGCACAATCACACATTGTGAGTTCAATTCAACCGAATTCGAACTCATACAATCCTCACAAGATCCATCTGAGCTAGAAATGGATTCGAGGAACATAGGAAAAACAGCAAGCACAAACATCTGACCTTTGCAGCACCCATCAAACATGAAGCAGCAGAACTACACAGCTATTGCCTAGACTCAAGTTCCTAACTTGGCTGGGGCAGGGAGGCCTGCATTGCCACGAGAGGCGACGTCGGCGAGGTGGGGGACAGGCATGATGGCACCCTCCACGAGGCCGGAGGAGTCGACGCTCTTGGTGAGAGTTGTACCATCTCCAGCGCTTGCATTCTGAGCTCTATTGGGTAATCCCTCACACACCCGATTCTCGGACCATTTCCTGTGCTCCATTTCAGGGACAGCCTGTGGCCGAGCTGATAGGATTTTGACTTGCTCTTGGAGTTCGCCCTCTCAAGAATTGCATCCTGGGAGACGCCGACATCCCTGGGGCTTTGCAGACCACCTGATAAGGTTCTTTGGTAGGCCGACCTTGCTTTCTCCACACGGAGATTATCGTTGACCTCATCAGCTTCAGTCTGAGAAGATGGCCCAGATGCCTTGTCTTCTTCTACCATGTTGGAAGGGAGAATCAGTTGGGGAGGATTGGATGGCATGATAGCAGCCGCAGCAGGGTTCTGTTTGCTATTAAGCACTGGATCTTCATAGTAGTCTTCCTTGGTGGATGAGCGTACCTGAATATGCAAAAATAAGTTGGTTAAGTGAATCGTCTTACATTTGGTAACATAGGAGCGTGTTCAGATTCAGCTGGCCCGGAAAGAGTATACCTCAACTTCTTTCAGATCAACTCCATTCTCTTCTAGAAAGCTCATGAAGTTGCTAAGGTTCTCAGCACTCGGTTTGTAATGTCCACTATAAGCCCAGATGGACTGAAATGAGAAGAGATCATCAAAGCATAAGATTAGCATAATGCATCCAGTGAGAAAGCACAAGAACAAAATTATGAGTATGAAGTGACTTGGGATATGGATACAATTATTTAAGTAACAAATCACCGAGTGTGAAATCTTTGCTTAAATAGTACTAGCACTTAGATACGATGGTGGTTCTCGATAATACCTTGATAACTCCATTTTCTGCAGTAAACCTTCCAGCAGCGATAGTAGCACCTCCTGCTAAAAAGCTGGAGTGCTGGAATACACCTCTCTCTTTCTGGATATAGAAATAAGCATACAAGTTAAACATTTAGTGAAGCTAACCTTTGAAAACATAACTTAACAGTTCTCAGCAGCAGTAAAATTTTGTGAGTTATCAAACAACCTGCCCAGCATAAAGTTTCTTTGCGGTGCTCATAACAAAAATCCATTTTGTCCCTTTAGGGCCCTGGCTTGTATCTAGTGCCTCACCAGATATCTGGTGGATAATCTTTCCCTCTTTAATGATGTATTCATAGAACTCGCGCTCTTGCTGCAAAACATCAGACAGCTGTTACAGGAGTTCATGCTCAACGATTTTCTTCTAAACTTTCATGTGGCAATATGCTACGACTAATCTGAACATGTTGGCGTGCTGTGGTTAAGATAAACAATTGAAGAGAAGTATTAATGGCACAGGCTAGGGAGTTCTATAACCTCATATGTATAAAGTATTATACATAACTCAAGACTTATGAAACTTTGACCAACGATTTGCCCAACTATATGGATTATCTCATACAAATTGATACCAGCGATATTGATTTTTGTATAACGTAATCCAATAGATAAATAAATTTGAGAAGCATGTGTGTGCCTTATAATTCTGGACAGAGGGAATATGTCACGTGCAGCGCACTGCAAAAAGTGCAGAGACCAAGGATAGGTCACTTGCCCTCATGTAGATGCCAGCAGGGCCTAATCGCTGTCGAAATTAGGCTATCTCTTGCCTAACTAAATATCATCATTCCAAGAAAACCATATCAACATCTTCCTATTTTAATCCATCTGTTTCCTAACTCCTTTATCAATTGATCATGTTATTGTTAGGTTCAATAGTGACTCCTGCACGTGACAGCGCTTAGCATGGTGCCTGCCCTTCACTGTTGTCTCTAGATTCGGCACCCATGCCAACATAACCCATGTTCTCATTATGAGCAAAACATATTCTAGAAGGTGAACATGAGAAACACAAAGTCAGTGGTATTTCTTAATCGCAACCGAGGCTTGCTGAAGAAACTTGAGCGTTGAATGAATTTAGCACTCTGAAGTAGACGACGCAGCTCTCATTGGAATATTTTCAGTAAGAAAGGATAAAGATGGCACCCATTATGCAAATGATCTTACCGGACCAAGATATCTTATGCATTGCTTCTTCAGCCGAGCCCTTGGACATTCTGGAAGATCTACATCTTTTCCCTCACCAATATCAAGCCTGCATATGCAAAAAGAAAAAGAGTAAAAGACTATCAGTTTCCGTGCAAAATTTATCAAGACTTATCCTGTGGGAAAATGGGGACTACATATTGATTTGCATGATTTCGTCTGAACAGAGAGATTTTCATATGCACAATGGCAGCCATATTCTTACCAGTAGAAGAAGGGCTGGCCAGCCTGGGTCTGGCACCAGACATCATAGTAGAAATGCAGGTTATGCCCGTACCTATGTCTTGGATCAATCTACAAGAATATGACAGACGGATCTCAATTTTTTGCAAATAGAAGTCCAAGTAAAGATGAGGGCAAGCTGTGGAACTTCTATCATCGATGTTCAGAGCTGACTGACAGTCTGATCAACTGATACTGGGAAGCTTATTCCTTTCACACACACATTTGGAGAGCATAGAAAAGCAGCAAGTACTACAATACTACTGCCGTACAATACTACTGCCAAAATTAGATTAAAAAACAGTAGTAGATGCGTAGGATATTTTTGTACTCACAGCCTCGATCCAGTGCTGGAAAGCCAGCTTGAGAGCCTTGGCGTCCTTGGATAAACCCTGCCCCACCTGCAACATGCTCATGAACATGCGTTGGGGTTAAAATTACGGAGAATTACAGTAAAAAAAGAGAATGGCTTTCTTGCGGGGAAAAGGCCATCATGGCGAGCTGCCTTGTGCTGGCGATTGATGGTGCATGGGAAGGGGATGTGTCGAGACCTTGGATGCGTTGAGGCTGACGCGGTTCCAGCGCGAGGCGGCGGTCTCCGGCTCCGGGTCGTCGTAGAAGGAGACGGTGCTGTGGTTGAGCCGCGCGAAGTCCAGCGCTTGCCACCTTGACCAATCCAAACCAGAGAAGACCGGTGAATTTTCAGCGCCCGTAACCATCAAGACAGAGCAAATCAGGCATCGACGGCACCCAAAATCAGGCTCGCGAGAGGGCAACAGCCAAGAAAAGGGCAGAATCCCAAGAAAGAAAGGGGGGTTGGGCGATTTTCTTGACCGAAATTATCAGACCACCAAGTGGAAGAAAAGAAACAGAGCAGTAATGTTTTCCTTTTGTGGAATTGGATAGGATCTGGTTACCAGAGCTCCTCGACGACGACGGCGGAGTCGGCGAGCTTGCGCCTGGTCCGGTAGCTCCGGTAGACCTTCTGCACCTTGGTCGCCGCGCCATTCGCTTCGCCTCCGGCCGCCGGCGACGGCGAGGAGGAGGCCCCCGTGCGGCTCGGCTCCCGCGAGGCGGTCTCCACGCGGTCCGGCCCGGCCGCCGGAGGAGGCATCGCAGTCTCCACCTCCATGTATACTGTCTACCGTCTACCGCCAATGGTGGTGGGCTTCTCGACTGGAGGCGGGCGGGGGATGGCCGTGCTCTTTCTCGAGGAGGGGGAGGGGGTTGGGCTGGGGAAGAAAGGGGAGGCAGCAGCTGGAATTTATGCCCGCCTGCGCTGCTGTGCGCGAGAGATAATCGGAGAGTAGTTTACTGTTGGAGCAGTGGAGCTGAGCCCATGGTACGCTGGGTCGTCTACCGGACTGTGCGTTTTGTCCCGTCGCAGCTCGTCGTCGTACGCCGCAGTTGGGCGAGGTTTCGTTTTTTTAGTAACACAAATTAATCGCAGGTGCCCACCTACACTCAGTCTTATCATTGCACAGGTGCACATCCTATCTTTATCGGTACCTCTGAGGTATTGAGCCGACGTCACATCTTGAAAATCAATAGGACGTCTCCTCTCACTAAGCAAAAGCCGTTGAAAGACTAAATAAATCTAAAAAATACGAGCATCGATGTAAGTCTTACAAAAAAGTCGACCAAAGAAGAAAGATATCTCAAAGGCACTGCATTATAAGGTGGAAAAAAGGCCCCGAACGCTGGCTTGTGCGGCGCAAGTATATGCAGCGAACACGCTGGCTTGCACAACACAAGTATACGCTGCGAGGAGCCTTTTTTTAAGAACCAGGATTCGAGCCTTGGTCGGTAGCCCTGCTCCAGAAGGTCATGAGAACCATGCTTGACACACGTTCTCATCAGTGTCAGGTCTAATTCTTGAATCTTGATGGGCTGGTTCCACCAAAGGAACGTAACCATCCGAGCTCAGTTTGTCGGTGAGGTTTCATTGATGTTTTTCACTTTTAATTCCGGGTTCTTACGCGTATGGATTTGGGTGAGTTCACAAAACTTGTTCAACGAGTCGCTTTCTCTCGAAACTACCACCGTTGAGAGTCGTCGTCTCCAAGTTTCTCGAGCCGACCCAAGCCCGGTTCTTCTGCGTCGACACTACCGGCCGGAGTAGAGATGGGGGAGGCGCTCCGTGCTCTCGTGTGTATAGTAGTTGTAGGGCTTGTTTTTCCTTGGCGAGAAGCCAATGGGGAGCATGCCAACGATGCGAGAGAGCAGCGCTTGGTGGGTGGTGGCTAGAGGCCGTGATTTTGCTGGTGGTGGTGGCGTGGCGCCAGTTGCTGTGTGGTGTCATGGCTGTGACGCTCACGGCGCCCCACGTGGTTTTTCCCCGGCGACGGTGAGACTCGTTCTAGATAGAATCTGTTTTGAACGCGACTGTAATTCTATATTTCACTTTGGGATTCTTATAAAAGGCAGGGACTTAGGTGTTAATTGGGGGTGGGAGAGGACTCAACCTTACGCAACATAGTAAAAGCGTACGTCAAGCGTTTTTCTCTCCTCCCTGGCGGCTGGAACCCTAGCCGCCGTCAGGAGAGGCCTTCTTTCAGCGCCGTCCTCCGGCGGCTCCCCTCCGCCGGCGACCTCGGTCGTCCGTGGTGGTGGTGGTGTGTGTGTGTGGGGGGGGGGGGTCGCCGGATTCACGCGCGTGGATCGTTTTTACATCTGTGTAGTCTAGTTTTTTAGGCTGTTCATCATCTTTGCTTCGGCGGCAACGATGATGGCGCTGAATAAAGATTCTTCGAATCCTTCCCTGACGAGGCCATCGGTCCTATGATTGGGGATGGATTTGAAAACAAGTTTGTTCAAGTAAGGATGGCGTGGCGACGGCGGCATCCTCGTGGTGGACCTGTGTCCTCGGGCTCCGTCGGTGCGACGACGTTTGCTCCAATGTCGGCGTGAAGCTTGAGAGGTAGTCCAGGAGCGGATGCAGATTGTGGTCTGCACTGACGACAACTGGAAGACAGAACGTGTGCTGAGTTCGTGGTTCGTGGATGGTAGGTATAGTTTCCTCCTTCGGCGTCTTAGTCATGGTGGGGTGCCAGATCTGAAGTACGATGGCGTGTCCGGGTGTTGCCCCGGTCTGACTCGTTCAACGGCAATGGCTTCACTTTTGGTGAGCCACTTTGGAGGTCTGCAAAGCTGCATATCAGCGATGGAGCCTCGTCGAGTTCGGGTGAGGAGGTCATCCGTCATTTTTTTTTCTTCGGTGGCTGCTGTGGGGGTGTCGGAGACAAGTGACGGGCGTTGGTGTCAAGCTCAGAGATGTTCTACTATCTTTTCAGGTTTATTATGTCGCTTTTTACGTGACTTGTATTTTGTTTTATATGATATGAATGAGACACGTATTATCATGAAAAAAAAGGACTTAGACGTTAATTTCTCTGCATGCAAGTCCTTGTATGAGTTTGGTACTGTAACATGTACTCCCTCAGTCTCAAAATGTTTTTGAGATAGATGGAGTATATTTAATTGAAGTTTTCTAGGTCCTTCGGAACATATCCCTGTTCAAACAAGAAAATTTTATTCCCAAGATAGGGCACCAATGTTGGTCACGTTAAGTTGAAACATGTCCAGTCTTTGTATGTACTACTACTACTACTACAAGATACCGTGTGTTGACTGAGAATTCCTGTCCATGCACCTCGCAGTCACGGGTCGCCTCGATGGTGGTTGCAAATGCTCGTGCTAGCTTTCGCAGTTTGACGCTGAGTCTCTACCTGCCCATTTGACGGTAGATTTATGTCATTTTAAAGCAGTACATAAAAGGCACATACACCTATGTTCAATCGCGTTATGATCACATATTCACATCTCTCTCGTCTCCAAACCCTAGTTCCCGTTTCGAGGTTTTTAACCGGGCTACACGATAACGCTTTGTTGGGTGGTGACTTCATCGACGTGGCAATTACATTTTCCTTGAGCCTCTCTCCATTTTGACGACGTCGGTAACCGCAACATCAATGTCTCGTTGGGTAGATTTATGCATGGCTAGTGAGGTTGGGGTTTATCGGTATAGTGGTAGCGGCGGCAACGGCTTCTCGTTGCAGTTTGGCCCTCCTGTCTCCTCCTCCTCATCACGTTGGTGCAACCTTCGACGCCGGCATGAGAGTGTGTTAGAGCAACTCCAACCGGCCGACCCAAGCGGACACCATTTTTAACGGGCGATGGCGTGGCTGCTACAGGGGGCGGCAGAGGCGAGGAGCGAAGAGATAAATAAAAAATAAAAAAGGAAGGTGGATGGCAGGTGGGCCAGACGAGGCGTGCAGCGGACGCACGCGGACGAGGAGTTGACAGAAAACGCCCACTTTATGTCCGCTTCGGATCCAAATCTGTTTCATATTTAAGACAGAAATGGGTCGGCGCGGAAACAAAGCAGACACAAAATAAAAATGGGTCTCCGCGTTAGGCCGTCGTTTTTGTCCGCGCAGATCCAAACGAACATGGCCGGACGAAATGGGTCGCCCTATTGAAGTTGCTCTTATTATTCTAGGTAGGCATAGATCTTGAATCTGTGGATCATCCCGGGCGCTAATTCGGTAAGTTCACGCCGTTGATGACTTCCTGTTCCGATCAGCGACGGCTGTCTGCCATGGAGACGCAGTAGCGGCGACGCGTAGGAAGACGATTGACCCCAGGGAACTTCATGTATTTTGTTTTCAGGGTGTCATTTTTGGTGAGAAAAAACCCAGCTTAGTACTGTTGGGGAGAAATTGACATTATTGCTTCACCTACTGGTGGCAGCCATGGCAGGTGGCTCCATGACTGCGTCCTGCCGTGGCCCCCGCATCACAGCAAGCCGCCTGGTTTGACGCATGTGCCAGTGGCAGACCAGATCTACGACGGTCCTAACACGGAAGAATTCTGTCATACAGACCGAAGGAATGACGCACGAGGTATTCTCTAGGGTGACGTACAAGGGTTTGGTTTTGCTTTGTTTCGCTTTCGTCCGTGGACCGTTGATCGCGCTTGGACTCGATCCCGTCTTCCCGTCTCGACAGCAAGAACGACAAGGAGAACCATGCCAGCAGGGCAGGTGGCACACATCGTGTGAACGTTACTGACAATCACTGGTCCTCGGCCTCGACCGGGGATCGTGATTCACCAACGATTCTTATGTGTGTCGCGCGCGTCGCCGTCGTTGGTTTGGTGGAGCTAGCATCGCCCGGCACAAACAGGCTCGATCTTCTTCCTCATGCACCTTTTCCCTTTACTTTTGTTTCGCAGGCGACCTTTTCCCTCTGCTGGTGCAGATAGTTAGGGCAACTCCACCGCACGACTCTAAATCTATACCTATTTTGTTCGGATTTTGTCCGTATGAGGTAGAAATAGAGAGAACAAACGCCGGACAGAGGCCGCACAAACTCGCTGCGCCCAATGCTGCTACCCTAAATCTATACCTATTTTGTCCGGATTTTATCCGTATGATGGGCCAGGTACAGAAAAGGAGAGAGTGACAGGTGAGGTCGAGGCGGACACAGACGGACGGCGAGGACGCGAAGATGTCCGCTTTTTGTCCGCTTTGGCCCCAAACAAAGAGCAACTTTGGCGTGGAAATGAAGCAAAAGCGGACACAAACCGGACGAAACGTCCATATGCTCTCATGCGTTGGGTCGTTCGGTTTGTTCATTTTACCCCAAACGGACACAAACAGACGTTTTAGCCCTCCTTTGGTTCATAGGATAGAAATGTTGTAGGAATAGGAAAATCATAGGAAGTGAGATGACATGCATCTCAATTCCTATAGAGAAAGAGATATCATTTGATGCATATGATAGGAATTTTTTCATTGAGTCTTAGCTAATGTTTTTTTTCCTCCAAAATGTGAAGGATTGCTTCCTATCCTATATAAAAATAGAAATTCATTCCTATAAACCAAATGGCCTTAAAGAAAATTTATCTATCCAAATTCTATCCTTTAGAAATTCTATGAGATTCCTACAAACTAAAGAAGGCCTTAGGATAGAAATAGGTCACGCGCTTAAGTTGGCCTTACTCGACGACCGAGACAGATTTCGGGTTTTGTTCACCGCCGGTGCCCAATCTTTTACAGTAACTTGCACCAACCGGAGAATGCCCCGGGGCCAAGCAATCGATGGGAGGTACGCATGAACTTCATCAGAG